TATAAGTTTAACATTACAGCAAATGTACAACATTTCAACAAGGTTTTGTCATCATCAGGTACCTTGTCAAAACCTTGTCGAAACGTTGTACATTTGCTGTTATGTTCAACTTATATTAAAGTTTTTCTTCATTACCCATTCAAGCCGTCTCCAACCATTAATAGTCTCAAAGTGGGTTTCTCGTCATCGAATTTGAATTCTTCAGTGGAAAGCAATTTGTTTTTCTTTTACATTCCAGAATGAGAACATTCAAAGTAATGTTTTATGTTCTTAAAACGTCCAGAAGGATAACGTTTATGGTTTTAATGATATTCCTCTCTTATCTCATTTAGCCAACTTTTTTTTTCCTTTAAGATAATCAGTATACAAATTAAAACAGATTGCATCTACTTAGCTCCATTCATTGCCTTGTAAGTCAACTCAACATTGGAAAGTTGACGCCTAAACTAACATGAAGACAAAAGCTCAACTTCGAATTTCTATATATATTAATTTGTTATCTAAAGTTCCTAATTTCGTTAAAGTAGTATGTTATTGTTTAAAGTCGAAGATTTTTCTTTGTGTTATAACAAACTTCGTTTTCCTGATTTTGATAAAATTGCACAATAATGTAACTAAGAAATTTGCATGAAAATTCTTTTACTGGCGCCATTGAAATTGCCCAAAGTAAAGAGTTTGTTTGTTTATCAAACACAGAGGATATCTGTGCTAAGCCCACTAGAAGGATCAAACCCTTTGGAGCCACTTCGTGGTCCAGCGGGAAGCTTGTGGACTTATAATATTAAATATCAGTATAAACAAAGGAAAAGTCTTTCCTTATGTATAGTTGAAGGAAATAAAGCATTTCTTTGGGTACTCTCGTTTTCAATAATATAAAAGAAACAGACTGATTCATACCGAGTTCCGATTTAAGGCAATGGATGGGTCAGTCGATACATTTAAATCATGTGCTGTTGAACACCACAAACAAATGACAGAGAAGAGGTGAAACCACTGCAAACAGAAAAACGGAAGCTTTATACCACAGAATATGTTATTTTGTTTGTTCTTTGGCTTTTTGTGAAGCAAAACATTTTGAGTTTTATTGTGAATGAATGGAAACTAAAGCGATCAATAAAATTTGAAAGTGCTTTCGTAAAATCGGTGGGTAACTCAATAGTTATATTACACCAAAATCGTAGATATTCACAAAAGTCGTGAAAACCCATAACAGTTTTTTTATTTATCAAACACTTCCTTCGCTGTTGAAAACATCAAACGACCTACGCTTTCCATATAAGTATCATTACATGCTTGTATGCTGTTGTTTGAAGCCTCGACTACCCACAGCCTTTGTTGTACCTGTGTATTTTGAATCCTATAGTAAACCCACTTACTGTAGTTCATTAAATACAACCAAGTACCTCTTCACATGTGTTGAAACCCAGGCTAACCCTTTCATTATTATGCATGAATTCCTCCTCCCTTTCAGACAAACTGCTCGTTGCAAAAGATATCCATAAATATCATTTCGTGTCTCAAGGGAAGACAGAGATTCCAGGTTTGGATGACGGTGATGAGTTCATGGTCACAGACGTGAGTATAACAAATTTTTAAAGGTGGCACTTAGTGCAACTTAAGATACTTTAACGCGTCTTGACTTAAATTTCACAATTCATACAAAGTCATATATTCAGATTAAATAAGTTATTGACTCAAAATATTAGTAATATCTTTTCAATGAATATTAAAATGCGCCTGTGTTTAAATTGACATCAAAATGTTCAACGGCTTGTGTTAAGACTTAAATATACTATGTAGCAAATGTTTGTTAACATTTGCTTCTTGGCAATTCGGCGAATTCGCAAAATGGAATATGGTGGTGTTTCTAATCCTTAGTTCGTGACTAAAAGTTGAAATATAAAAAGTAAGAAATAAAGTAATTGTGATGTTGAAAAACACTTTTTTGTTATTATTGGAAACCTCTACAAAATTAAAGTTTCAAAATTTCGTTATCTTAAAAGTTTGTTATAAATTGTATACTTATTCCTATAAAATCTACTTCGGAGCAAGCGGGTTAAAGAAAATGAGTTACACATTTATATGCATTTTCTAACACTAGTAACACATACAACACATTGAGACGAGTATAAGTCCCTGCATGAATGCATGATTATCCACAGTTGGTGTTTCGAACAAAAATTACTTCTGAAATTCTATAGTTATTTATTTCTTTGTCTCCTAAATATCTATAACTTAAGAAATTTACCCATGTGTCTATATGTTGATGTCTGTGGAAAAAACCAGAATAAGTGCTTGTGGTTTGCCAAAATCTTTTCATTGTATTTTACGTAAATAAACTAGATTTCGAATCATATAGTATATGTGTAATTCAATAAGTATTTTTGTTAATGTTATAGAAATTTTTTTTTATTATATACTTATTATTTAAATAGCTAATGACAGAATATTGACTTGATTACCTGTAGTCTTCTTCTAAAACGTCTTAGAAGAAAAATGTAAAAGAAAATCATTTGTAATAGTAGTATATTGAAATGATATGTATCTTTGTTAGATTCCAACTAGGAAAATTTCTAACTCGGACAAGAAATAAATTCAAAGTGAAATTTAGATTTATTTTACGAATCTAGATTTTGCTCTTACAACAAGTGAGCAAAATATTTATGAATGACGTAACAGACGACAAATTTTGTTGTTTGTCAATCACTATTAACAATTGCTGATTTACAACCTCATTACCAAAACTTCATTAAACTTTCATTTTGTGTAAAATAAAACTTTCAAACTATAGTTTAGTGTTATGTTTATATTCTTTTATACTGCTGAATGGTAATCAAAACTGTAATATTCAGTTGGTCACAGTGTGAGTTTTATTACCTAATGAGTTCATCAAATGTCATAACAAAACATTGCTATTTTCTCTAGACCGGTTTTGATGTGCTTGGCTTTTCCGAAGAAGAAAAACTGAACATTTACAAGATCACTGCGTCTGTGATGCATTTTGGTGAATTGAAATTCAAACAAAGACCAAGAGAGGAACAAGCCGAAGCCGATGGTACAGAAGAGGGAGAGAGAAGCGCTCACCTACTAGGCCTAAACGCCGCTGATTTGTTTAAAAACTTGCTAAAACCTAAGATTAAAGTCGGAAATGAGTTTGTCACACAAGGACGAAACAAAGAACAGGTAATATTGTGCAATAATCTCAAATTCTTACATAACATAGGACATGTCTCATTAAATGTTTATATTTCATTCCAAGTAGTCTCTTCTGAACACTAGAAATATAAGTGAAGGTGAGATTATTATAATTTCTCTACTGTTTGCTTATGAGTGGCTGAACATCTATTAAAACTAATATTTAAAAGTGGATTGCAAAAGGTTTTATTTATATAAAAATGATGTAATAAATCATTTTCTCTCTATTTGTAGTTTTCATAAAATACTAAAAAATACAATTTAGATAGTAATGAATCAAATCTGTTTGATGAATTGTAATGTTTTGTACTTCAAGCTAATAACAAACAATACAATGAGCAAATAGAGATATATGTAGAATATACACGAGGTTTCGGTGCTGTGGCTCGAGGTGCTAAAGTTATACCAAAATAATGTTGAAAGAAAAATGTATGTACGAATTTATTCCAGAAATAATATCTTCTGGGGATAAATCCTCTCAAAACTAAATTAGTCTGTTCTAGAGGTTTGTTTTTTATGTGGCATAAAGCAAAAGAAAGTTAGTCTTGAACATTTTTATTGGCTTTCAGTTTTTAGCTAATGAGATAAACTAAACTAATCTCTCAAGCAGACTCCTTTGTGTGCCCAATGTTATTGATAGTGCTTGTATAACCACTATTTTTAAACTAAAAACTTCTAGAACCATTAGTGAAACGACTGGCTGTAGCAACTTTACAATATTAATTAACAATGTTCATTTCCTGCGTATTTTTAGGAATAATGTCACTTAAAATTTTATTTAAAATTCTTGTTTTGAAGAATTGATGTATTTTTCCCTATTTCTTCTAGGTTTCGTATTCAGTAGGCGCCTTAGCCAAAGCCATGTACGATAGACTTTTCAAGTGGTTGGTAAGGAGAGTAAACGAAACTCTTGACACCAAACAGAAGAGGCAACATTTTATTGGTGTTTTGGATATTGCTGGTTTTGAGATCTTTGACGTAAGTTTTTATACACTTAATTTGAGTGGATGGGAGAGCAGTTAATAAATTTTTTAGGGGGCATTGTAATAAAATGTAATTCTTAATCAAGCGAATAATTATTGTGATAAATTAATTGGTTATTTTAAATGGGATGCGAGTGCAAAATATTAGAAAAGTTTTCAAGATAAAATAATAATTAATGCATGATTAGTTAGTCCAAATAAAATATTTTCTTATTCTTAGCTTAACAGCTTTGAACAACTTTGCATCAACTTCACTAACGAGAAACTGCAGCAGTTCTTCAACCACCACATGTTTGTGCTGGAACAAGAAGAGTACAAAAGAGAGGGTATCGATTGGGAATTCATTGACTTTGGTCTTGATTTACAAGCTTGTATTGACTTGATTGAAAAGGTAATAATAAATTTTATCAAACAAAATGCATGTAAAGAAGACTTCTGGTGGATTATATATATATATAGGTCTTTTTTTTACGATATTATCAACTTTATCCTTTATTTAAGACTCTAAGTGACGCGTATTTCTTCCTCTAACTTCAGCCCTTGGGTGTTCTGTCCATCCTTGAAGAGGAATCCATGTTTCCTAAAGCCAGTGACAAGACCTTTGAGGAGAAGTTGAAGAATAATCACTTAGGAAAGTCTCCGAACTTCGTGAAGCCAAGACCACCCAAACCTGGACAAAAAGAAGCACATTTCGCCATCGTTCATTATGCTGGCACTGTAAGTTAACAGTTTTCTGCTGTTATGTTTATTACAGTTATTGATGGTCAAAAATACCAAACAATCGATCTAACTCGATCTTTTGGTTGGTTAAGACATCAAGTTAATATATTATCGTAATGTTTTCTCCATGGGTACTTTATAAAATATAAAAACTGGTTCAATGCTCTCATGGCTTGAAAACAAGTTGTTTTAAGAGAATATTTAACATAAATATCAGAGCATCCATTGCAGAATATTAAGTTAAAAAATACGACAACATAGTTTTATTTAATGAATTAATATAATACAAATAATATATCAGAACAACTCAAACCGTTATTCTCTGAATGATGATGATACACGTTAGACGTGAATAGTTTGTTTGTTTGTTTGTAATTAAGCACAAAGCTATACAATGGGCTATCTGTGCTCTGCCCACCACAGGTATCGAAACCCGGATTCTAGCGTTGTAAGTCCGCAGACATACCGTTGTGCCACTCGGGGCAGGCGTGAATAGACGACATGAATTCCATTCCTTAACAAAAAAAAAAGAAAAAAGATTTTACAGTCCAGTGCAAATGTAGTTAGGCATTAACATAAATTTTCAAGCCCAAATGATAACGATACGTAATTTGATGTAGCAAATTGGTAGATGAATTAAACGTTTTTGCAAGTATTCTGTCAAATGTAAAAGTAAAGCTAGAATGAATAAAAAGCTATATTAAGCTAAAGACTCTGTGGATACGAATTTTAAAAAGAAATGAAACTACTAATGTTGTATATTCAAATTACTAGGTAATTATTATTAGCAGAACTCACATCATTAATCTTCCTTACAAGTATTAACTTAAAATTCTAGGGGGCCATCTTCATCGTACGATAGAATTATAAATATTTAAAGTGTTTTGTTTTATTTTCTAATTCAGTTTTACAATCTAATAAGAATTTTATCTTTTCCTTAACTTGCTTAGACACTAACGCTAACTGTACTAGTTTTAATTACTTTTAACTTGGTGAATAAATATATTTTAAAATAAAAACCAATAATTAAACCCAGACAGTAGGAAAGGAATAACCTGGAACATTTCATTAGGCATATAAAAGCATTTGGTACTTATAAAGTAAAATCGACCATGAACGAAAGAGGTTTTAGATTTTTCACATGTGTTTGTGACTGGTGTTTTCTAAATCTTGAATTTATTTGATTCATATTAATCGTGCTCAGGTACCCTACAACCTGTTTGGCTGGCTTGAAAAGAACAAGGACCCCTTGAACGATACCGTTATTGACCAGTTTAAACATGGCTCCAATAAGCTTATTGTTGACATCTTTGAAGACCATCCAGGTCTTGGTGGTGGTGATGACACTGGCGAGAAAACGGGCAAAGGCAAGTTATTAATTTTCTAAACAGACCTTATCTAATAATTTGGAAAAGTTGAAGTGAGTTTTTCTCGGTATGATTTTTACTATATGGATCTTTGCTCCTAAGAAAATTCTTATGTTTGATATAGATATAACTGTGTTCTATGTGTTGCAATACTTAAATAGGAGTTTGGTATATCTGTGTTTATTGTAGTTGGAAAATTATGAAGAAAAGATAAAATTACTATGCCATTATTAACAATATTTACATAGTTTTGTACATGGGTTAGAGTTGTTATTAATAAGAAAGTCGGGTTTTGTCTAATGTCATTTATATTTTAAATAACAGCTCGAAAAAAAGGCTCTGGTTTCCAAACTGTGTCTTTGCTGTACAGGGTAAGAGCTACTAATATTATTTTTCATTTAAGTGACATTCATCTTTTGGATAAAGTATGCCATACGTTGATCAACGAGTTACTAGTTATAGTAAAAAGAAATTAAATTAATTTGATGAATTAAATTTTTTATGCTTAAAATAATAAAAACATGTAATAAAAGTTTGCCTGAATCAAAATTAAACTAACTTTGCTGTCTTTATTCACATTGTAAGAACTTTATCTTACTTGTATCTATTTATTTACAAATTATGTTATTCTATGAAATAGTTTTTAAAAATAGCACTTGTAAATAAAAATAATATGCAATAGAAATAGCGCCATTTAGTGATTGTTTTTCTTACCGGGAGGCAGCGCTGTTTCTGGCGAGTAAAAACCCACTATAAACCCAGATGGTTATGAAAGACGGATAATGAACTTTTTCTCCTTATAAGTGGATTTGTCTTGAGTAAATATTGACGACTCAAATATAATAATATTTGCTTAGATCCTAGCTAGATGTGAGTGGTTTTTAGGCTTAATGACTTAAATATTGCTTTATTTAATTGTTTATCTATATAAATACGATAGTACTGTCTGTTGTATGTCCATGTAACTACTTTGCAGGGTGTGGATGGATCTTCACTCACATTGGTATGGAGGTTTATTAGGTACATGCTGGGGTACATACAACATATCAGTTTTGCGGTTTTATGGGCTTTTTTGTCTTTTTTACCACTACTTCGCCCCCTGTAGATGGATCTTCACCAAATTTGGCATGAATGTTTCTTGTGTCTATGGGGAGATACATCCAGATTTTCAATTTTGCGTTTAGTGGTTTTTATGGGTCATTTTTTACCACTATTTCGCTCCCTGTTGATGAATCTTCACTTAATTTGTTCGGTCCATCTAGAGATGTAAGCAAAGTTGCAGTTTCACATTTTGTGTTTTGCAGTTTTTATGGGCGTTTTTTACAATTACATATAAGGGAAGCAACTTTTCATGT